GGGGGGGGGAAGGAAGAAATAAACCAAACAACAACCAAAAAAAGCGTCAGAAATAAAAATATTCCGACAACTGAACAGAAGGTGCTTTGTCAAGAAAAGTATCACGATGCAGTACGTAAATTAAAATAAAATTTTGCTTGTTTAAGGCCAGACGAGTGAATTCATCCTGTTCTCAAGCAGTGACTGGGTTAAAGAAATCCTCCTGTGACACGTATGCCCGTTCAGATGTATTTCACACGGTTTTCTGGGGAGGGGGTTTCTGACCCTTCTGGGGGTCTTTGTGTGCAGGATCAAGAGCAGGATCCGACCCGAGGGGCAGAGCCAGCCTTAGGATGGGGTGAGTGTGGAGGGAGACTCTGAGTTCAAGAAATAAAAGCTTTTGAGCCCCAATGTGTGTGTCCTCCTGACTCTGCGCAGCCCACAGAGGAGAAATCGGCGAGGAAAGCAGGGAAGTCTTCAGAAACTGTTGGTGGGCACCGTTAAACATTCAACTGGGAAAAACTGCTTTGTAATGAATAAAGAGAAGCCAGGGACACCAGAACGGAGCCTGGAGGGAGATAAAACAAGTGTGAAAGCAAGGAAGGGCCAATGGGGTTGAGCAGGGGACTCCTACACGGTACGGAATCAAAAGCTAAAAACCATTTTCACTCCATGCATGAAACTGGAATCCTGCCCACAAACAGAATATGTTCCTAGTCCCTTCCTGTGCTGCAAGCAAGTTTCTGCAGTCTGGCACTAGCTTGCTCTTTTTCCACACTTTCATTTTCTCTCATTTCCCCCCAAAAACAGAACTTCGTTGAGCAGTTACCCAGGGCACCCTCATCCACTGCTGCTCTCAAGGCTTTGCAGTCAAGCCCACAGCCTTTCCTGTCCTCAGTCCTCTCACTATTGCCCCAGTCTCAGAGCCTTTCCTGGAATTTTGCCCCAAGGAGGGAGGTAACACTGTGGATGCTCCAGAGTAGCCCCCTGCATGGATCACTTCCACACTGCTGTAAGGCAGTTTTAACTCATTACTTCCATTATTTCAACCGATGGTTGTATATAGGCATGATTTCAGCATAAAATTATTCGCTTTAGTGTGTTTTGTCAGTACAAAAAGTTGAGAAAATTGAATCTCATTGCAAATGTTGCAAATGAAGATGCACAAACCGCATCTTCTGCACAGGACTTTCTAGCTCGCCATCCTACTTCCCAGCTTCCAGAACTGTATCTCTGACTTTGCAGCTCTAAAAGTTTAGTGGAACACCAACTTTTCAGACTGAACAAGCAATGACATATGTAAATGCTGTAAGCTAGGGGATTTCTTCTAATTTTTTTTTTTAATTGTCTCTTTCTTCTTGTAGACTTTGGCCACTGGAAGAGTGCCAGGGGGAGGGAAGTAATAGCTCTGGAGGGCTGGGCTCCAACCAAAAACCAGTTTTGAACTTCAGATAGAGCTATACGGATCCAGTGAAGGTGTGGACATTGGTGCTTCACCACAGGAAACACAGAAGAGAAGAAAACAAAACCAGCAGAGAAGAAGTGAAACCAGCAGCAAAGTACGTTCTGTTTGTCCTAGATTTTGATAGAGGGAGGGGGCAGAGGAGAAAACAGGTAACATGCTCGGGGTGCTTTCGTACCCCATTTATGATGTGCATCATTCTGGGACTTAAATATTTAAGGATTTAAAATTGACATTTCAAATATTGACATTTTAGCTAGAAGGGAGCTTGTGGAACTGGACGGATGGGGCGGGAACACGATCCCGGCAATCTCGGGGCTTCCTGCCAAAAGCTTCCCGCCAAAAGCTTCCCAGCACAACTTCAGCTTCCTGCCACAGCTCTTGTAACGCCCACGCCGTGGTGGTCAGCAAATACGCATTTTTGATCAAAAGTGACTGTATCTGACCACAGATCAGATTCGACTAGGGTATAAACAGAGCCTGGCCGGAGGGCGAGCTTGGGTCAGTTCTCCTCGGAGCAGCGGGGCTGCAGTCAGGGACTCTCCCCTTAGGGACTCTCCTGCCTAAGGAAATTCTTTGAGGTTGAGAGCCCTCCCTTTTATTAGGTGAGTGATTGTGCATTTTGGATCATTGGCCGTGAAGCTTAATAATTCTTAAGTCAGTCATGGAGTATTAATTCCTAGGTGACATTTCCAACTGGTGGATTGTTAATGTGATCAAAGTAATTTTGGTTAAAGGAGAGCTGAGTTTGAATTTGTTATCAGTTTGTTACAAATAATTCCCATTTATTACCTCATCTAATTTAATTTTGTGAGTTTCCACAACAATGGGAAAATTCCTCTATCTGGGAGCAAAAATTAGCCCACGCTAACGTCCCTGCTGCTTTGGTTGTACCGTAACTCAAAGCTGCGAGGAGCAGAGCTACATTCCTCAGCAGAGCTAACTCAGAGAAGAGGCAGACAAGGCAGAAAACTTGCCTCCTTTATCAGATCTGGAGGAGATGCTAGTTGGAATTTTTGTGCCCTGAAGCTGTCTGGCTTTATATTTGGCCACGCAAAAGCCAAATCTGTGCTACTGGAAATAAGCTGTGCTCCTGTCACCAGCGAGATCTCGTCTAGGCACACTTCCATTTATTTCTGGGTGCTTTCATACCACAGATGTGTTTTGTAGCAAGGGGGCTGGATTTCATTTTAAGGAACTGGCTTCAATGTGATGCAGATGCAGTTTGCCACCATTTCAACGAATTTGCCAGCGGTCCGAGTGCCAAGTGGCAATCGGCCAAGATTCAGCCGCCTTACTAGCACGGGTGGCCAAATAGAGCTGAAAGTAAAAGTGTCAGTTATTATTTATTGATTATTAATTGATAAGATTACTGGATTCTGAAGATTGAGGTGAGGCTTTAACACAGCCTTTTCTGAGTCATTACAGGAGAGGAGGGGGCTGCATGCAGTCTAGGCGCATGTAAGAGGATGATGTTGAAGGGAGTAACGAGCCTGGCTGCAGAGAAACTGAGACTGCTTCTGTGTTCAAAAGGACAGATGGCAGCAAGGTCTCTACATCCCCTCATGCTCAAAGACAGAAAAATAAACACTTGGGCACTGGGGACAAATTTGGGTTTTAAGCAAACACGCTGTTTTGGAAGTGGAGGAAAATCCCTGTTGCTGGCATCTCTGTGACTCGGTGTATTTATTGCGCAAAGGATGGTCACTGTTTAGCTGATGTTTTTGGAAGATTGATGTTTCAGCATAAATGGTAAGCAGTTTTTTTTTTTTTTTTTTTACAATTGTTTCAGGCCCACAATGGCTCTTGAAGACAACCAACAACAAGAGAAAGTCTGGGTTAATTTAGCAACAGAGTATCCTGAAGTAGTTTTATGTGTTGGAAAAATAAGTTTTGGTGAAAAAGCAAGAAAAAAGATACCAAAAAATTCAAAACAAGATCAAAAATACACCCTTGCCTGTGCAGTGTGTGCCTTGCTGAACTCTGGAGGAGGTATTGTAAAAGCAGAGATTGAAAATGAGAACTACAACTTAGCGAGAGATAGCATCGGACTAGATTTGGAAGAGACTTTTCGATCTCTTCTTGTGTTTCCAGACTGGAGAAAATACCTGGACTTTAAACAGCAAGATAATTACCTTTTGATTTTTATTAAAACCTGGAGCAGTGAAAACATAGCCTCCACAAGTGCAAAGCCACGTATTTGTAGCCTGAGTACTGGGTTGTATGCAAAAAGTGGTGCTTCTCTTTCCCACGTGAAGCCTAGCGAAGCTTTTTTGTTCCTTAAAGAAAAGCAAGATGAAGCCAGGAGAGAGCTTAGCCCAGGATCACCTCCTAGTAAGAGGAAGAGAGGGGCTGTTGCAGGAGACATGGATATTTCAAATAACAATGTTGCTGAGTTTTTTAATAGAGACCAACTGCGACGTGGAGAGACATTGACTTTCACAGAGTCAGGAAACATGGAATTTAAGCACTTTTCAACTGAAAAATTTTTGACTCGTGTCAAGGAGATATTACCTGAGTATATCGCTGGATTTGCAAACACAGGCGGCGGGTATTTGTGGATCGGTGTGGATGATGACAGCAGAGTGCAGGGGGTCAGCAGTGATGATGAGGACCTTGAAAAATTAAGACTTCTAATCAATTCAATTAAAAAAAAATTACCCCTCTTCCATTTCTGCGGGAGTTGGCATAGACACAACATAAAGTATGAACACAAAATCTTGAAAGTATGCGATGAGGCTGGAGATCACTGTGGCTACGTCTGTGCTGTGAAGATTCAGCCATTTACTTGTGTCGCATTTGCCGAACACCCGGACTCGTGGCTAGTGGAAGGCACCACCATCAGGAGACTGAAAGCAGAGAAGTGGGCTGAGTGGATGACGGCTGCCGATCCAGGTCCAAAAGAGCCAGGACAATTTTCATATTTCCATTTTCAATATTTCCTTTTCTTTTCTTGCTCCTGACTTGGCAGTGTTGTTTGCTTTAGATACTCTTACCCGCTTCTCAGTGTTCTTTGGGGGCCTGACCAAACCAACCAGTTTGACTCTTTCAGGTCCTTGCTAAATACCCATCTTTCCGCCGCTTGCATTCCTTAATGCTTGTTTCTGGCTGGAGCACGTCCTGGTGACTGGCAGCTTATTAATGCCAATGTTAGTGCCTGCTCTAGCAGCATGAGTTCTCCATGCCTCGAGTTGACTGCTTTTGAGGTTAGACCCCAGTGCACGTGTTATTTTACATAATTGCCATAGTCCACGGCAGTTGTCATTTGCAAATTGCCATTTGCTTTCAGGCTTAGTCTATATGTTCCCTCCTGCTTTTTAGGGGCATTCTCCACTGCTGCTGCCAGCCTAGTAAGCTGAGAGCTGCAGACAGATAAAGCGTTCATTTACCAGTTCTTGGGCAGTGAAAGGGATATCACTAACGGAGACTTTACAACAGCAGCTAATGAGATAAGGAAACCAAGAGCAGCTCCATGGTCTGTGACCTGAGCCTGTTCTGTTGCTGACCAGCTGCTGTCCACGTGAGTTGCAAGGTTTCTGTCTACGCATTGCATTTGTTATTTTAAAGAAGAGCGAAAGATGTAAAACCAGCATGAGGACAGCTTGTGGCAATTGCACTGAGGGACAGCTCATGCTATATCACATGGTTTTATTTCTTTTTTTTCCAGACCTTTCAAAGTTTTCTGAGACCTTTAAGCTAGAGCTCAGTCTGACAGAAGGGCCACCTCTGGCCAAGCCAGTTTATTCACACCAGTGCCTTGACAACCTTGATGATCTTTGTGAGAAACTCTTTCCAGGTAGGTCTGCCCATTGCTTTCACTGTCTGGTAGGTTTACAAGGTGAATCTCAAGGGCACAGTCAAGGTCAAAGACGAGTTGAAGACATTCTTTAAGCAGATGAAAGAGATGGAAATAGTTTGCAGATCTGACAGCAACATTGCATTCAAATGCCTGATGACCCCCTTCCCCAAGGACTGATCTTCTGCCAGCTATTGACACACGTACATGACGGAGCTCAGCTAGCTGAACGTCTCTGGGGACCGAGCACAGCCATGCCAACTTCTTTTCGCAATCCAGTGAAAAACAGGAAAGATGGGAGGAGATCACTTGGAATCAGCCCAGTGTAAACACATAAAGGGACTGGGGCTGGGACTGGAGTGGAGGGTCTACTCCCAGTTACAGTCCCAGCATTTCGGTAGCACTGCAAAATCAGCCAGGTGTCCAGGGGCTTTTCTATTGAGCCATTATTGTTTCTTTGTTTACTTGCCAGGTCTCCTAAACAAGGTTGGCAACAGCTGGCCCCATGCTGGCATTTTCAGCAAAGGGACTGAGCCCTGGGTAGGAGATGAGGATTGAGTTCCCTGGGGAAGGAGTCTTTGCAAAAGAATCTGGAAACACGTGGGGTCATTAAGGAAAATTTTGAAGAAGCAACAAAAATATTTCAGGCAGCTATGGTCTGTGTTTGTGGCCTTTCACCAATATCAATTCCCACAGAATCATTTCAGAGGGCTGGATTTGCATCTCATATACTAACACTAACTGCTGCTTCTCTTTTGCCTTGTTAGTGAAATCCCACAGCATAATATATACCCCGGAAAAACTCTGTGAAGATCTCCTCCAAGAGCATCCAGGGTTGGATAGTTTAATGGAAAATCAATCACAGCAGCTTTCTGAGGGACTTCTCATATTCTCCAGAAGCTGGGCTGTTGACATTGGCTTGCAAGAAAACCAAGGTGTAATTTGTGATGTTCTGCTAATAGCCGAGGACAGGCCACCTATCCTCTATACAATCTGTAAGCGTGATATCTCAGAGAATTTGTTTAAATACTCAAGAAATATAGCCAGAAGGCTGAAGGAGAAATTAGTCAACACAGGGGGGTATATTCACAAATTGTGCGTAATACCAAAGCTACTGACTTTGCCTCCAAAAATTAACTGTGGAAGAGAATGGGATCTGAATATTCAGGAACTGTATCCCCAGAACTACAGCCTCATCAGCAGCAGCAACTTGAAGGACCTCTTGCACGCTCTCACAGTAGCTCTGCTGACTTTCAAGTCCTTTTTAAGCGACCATGTTGGTTCTGAGTTTTTGAACCTCTTGACCATCAAACAATACCAGCTGCTGTCAGAAAATCTTCACAAAACTAAGAAGCTGTATGTTTATGGTCTACCAGGAACAGGAAAAACTATCGTGGCCCTGAAGTTCATGGAGAAAATAAGAGCTATGTTGCAGTGCACAAAAGAACAAGTTCTTTATGTATGCGAGAACCAGCCTCTGAGAGATTTTGTGCAGTAAGTACTTCCTCCAATTGTTAATTTCAGCATCCTGTTCTTTCACCAGCATTTTTAAATAGCTGAGTGCTGATCAGTATATTTGGTACGCTGTTTGGTCTACCACCATGGCAGTGTTTGAAGTGTGTACTTGGGATGTGTTTTTAGTAAGGCTAAAATTCTTTTCTTGACATCCTGAGCACCTACTAATAAATGTGTCTTCAATATCATGGGCATTCACTTTGTTCTGATCAAGTATAAACAGTAGTTTGCAATGCAGAGATTGTTTTTAATCTGCTTGTATCTCTTCTGTAGGCAGAAGAACATTTGCCAAGCTGTGACAAGAGTAGCCTTTCTGAGGGGAGACTTTAATTATGTGAAGCACATAATAATTGATGAAGCACAGAATTTCCAAGATGGGGAAGGTGATTGGTATAAAAAAGCCTGGACTCTAACTTCATCACCGCATCTCCCTGAGCCCGGCTTTTTCTGTATTTTCTTGGACTACTTACAGACAAGTCACTGCTACCCAACTGGTCTTCCAGAAGCAGAATGGCATGATCCTGTCGAGTCACTAACCCAAGTGGTTCGTAACGCTACCAGTATCTATAGCTATTTAAAAGAAAAGATGGAAGAGATTGTAGAGTACCCTACCCTCAATATTCCCAGCCAGCGTTTGAAAACGTTATTGTGCAGAGCCACGTGTGCTCATGCTGTGCGAGGCTGTATTGACATAGTGACCCACCTAGGCAGAAACGGAATAGCAAAGTACGTGGCAGAACATTGTCATACATACCTTAAAAAAGGTTACTCCGAGAAAGATATTGCTATTCTGTGCTACAGAGATGAAGAAGTAAAAGCATACCAGGAAATACTAGCATCAGAAATGAGGAAGTTAGAGTCAAATATATTGTTAGGAAGACTGGAGGGAGGGCTAGGGAAGTTCACTGTTCTTGACAGCATCCGTCGTTTCTCTGGCTTAGAAAGAACCATCGTGTTTGGTATTATTCCTCAATCCTTTTGGTTTCAGGATGAAATTTTAAGAAATATATTGGTCTGTATAGCATCCAGAGCTAATTTAAATCTACACTTGCTACATGATGAGTAGAAACAGGTAACTGCATAGGCTCCCAACACAGTCCTGGTAGGTCAATGGTTATGTATGTTTGAAATTTTTTTACTCTGTATTTGAAGGAGAAGGATTTCCTTTGTAATGACTGGTCCTCTCTAAAAGCCCAGACTTTTTGAGAAGCCTCTACAGTCTGTTTTAAATCAAATGTACTGTTTCAATAACACTAAGAGATAAGATACTTTGAATGTCAGTAGAATTACATCCTTCCCCAAAGGCCCCTTCCAAGGACTTGCAAAACCGGATCCTCAGCCTCTGAGTGCATGCAGGTGCACCACCAAGTGAAAGCCATTATACCAAGACAGGAAACTGGAAGACTTCTTGGCTTTCTCCAGCTCACTCCCATACTCACAGTACTGCTCAGAAAAGTTACCAAACAGCATCCAGCATTAGAAGCCTTTTTTTTTTTTCTCTTTTCATATCCTCTATTCAGATACATAGGAAACTAAAAATGGGGCCTTCTGTCCATGTTTTAGCTAGGAAATACAAATAAATGGCTATTACAGAAGTAGTTTCCCCACTCAGCTTCAGCAACAGTTAGCAGGGGTGGGAAGAACCCAGTTGCTTCAAAGAGGAGCTTTAGTGGGAGAAGGAAAACTTTGCATAACAACCCCCTTAGATATCAACAGCATTTTTTGTCTTGGTTTCAGAGATGCTGGTTAGATAAAACGCTACATAGAGTTAGATGCAAAATACTTTTGAAAGGCAGATCCAAAATTCCTGAAACTGGGTATCTAAAACTGAAGGCTGGTTGAAAACAAACCGTATCATTTTCCACCACAGAATGACCTGTGGCTCATTTGGTTTGGAAGAACAGTCCAATATCCTCCCAGTGTGATTATAAAGCACCAGTGATTTAACTGAATGTGGTTACAATAAGGAGAGGACATTGTACACAGCTGGAATTACCCTCCAAATAAATTTGCCTTTCAGTTCTCAAACCTATTAGCTTAAAAATTCTTGCTTTTCTCACTTTACGCAGCTAGAGGCACTTTCCATTTTTTTTCCTTAATCAACATACAAGGAACAACTACATCCGTGGTTCCTTTCATAACCCCCAAACCTCAACACTTAATCATGCCACGCTATCCATATAATCAGAAATATTTTAATGTGCTTTAATTCACATTTAAATCACTGCTAAGTTTATATTTACTATATGCTTAGATTTTCTTCCCCTGGGGACTCAAGCTGGAGTCTGCTTTTTTGTGTTGTCTATAGCATGCATAAAGAACCTGTGCTTCAATGTAAACATTTATATAATAAAATGTAATGTGATGACCAGCTGGTGTGTTTGCTTCTCATTCCACTTCTTCCCTGTTGAACCAAACACTGTGCCCTGCTGTGAGCCTCAGCTGAACCCATCAGGCCGCCACCTCCTGCAGCCTCTCACGGTGACTCTGCACGTTCATTTGAGCAGCACTGCATCGTTTGCAAGTGGTAAAAATTCAGCCTGTGCTACCGACTACTCCAGCTTCCTGGGTGTGATGCAAGGCTGCAAGTGGGGGTTGCCTTAGATTCTCCATTTGCTGAATAAAAGCAGAACAGGAATTCCACATGGAACAAAGGACTGAATTTATTAAGAGTTCATCCACCACCCTCACACTTTGGCACACCACTTAAGGCTGTTTAAAAGTACCATAAATGAACAAAAAAGCACACGGCTAAAACCCAACCTATTTTCTGACTACAGAAGAGAAGGCATTTAACCCTCCCCTTCCACCATTGTGAGAAATTCCACAAGTGCCAGGAGCTGTAGATGGTTGCAGAACGTATTTCAGCTCCGTTGAGTTCCCTTCCAACAGCACCCTGGCACGTTTCTAACACAACCAACTCTTTTACAGATGGGCCGGGAAGCTTTCATCATTATCAGCTGAATGGGGGCAAAGAAAGGATTTACACCAGCTGGGAATTCCTCAGATGGACACTTTCCAAATTTCCCAGGCAAATGCCCCCCTTTTCCTCATACAGATTCTGATCCTCCAGAGTTGTCCCCAAATTCTTCCATGCCTTGACAATGGCACTGGATTTTCCTCACAGCTCTCACTTTTCCCCATTTCTCAGTAGCCTTTTTTCCCCACATTCAGCCTTTTTTTGGTGCTTTTCATTTCCTCATGCCTGAGAGAGAGGTTTGATTAGCCCATAATCCATGCACCTCGTGAGGCAATCCCGTGCTACGTTAATGATGTGCTGCTTCTTGGGGTCATCCGCTTGCTTGCCGTGGTACGTCAGAATCTCCAGGAGCTCTGTCTCCACCAGCTTCTTCGCCAGCTCTTTGTCAGCGCTGATCAAGTTGAAGGCGATGACCAGTCCTCGGTGCTGCACTTCTAAGTTCTCGTGCAAGCAGAGCCGCTGCAGGATTTCGAGCCACTGGGTGGTCTTCAAGGGAGAGAGAGATCTTAGTATTGCTCTGAAGAATACATCAACCAAGACTGCGCGTTTGGTGAGGCATTTCTCAGCAGAAGGAAGCGCAGGGACTCACCTCTGCAGTACTCATGGCAGCTACGGTTATTTGATTCTTTAACTAAGGAAACCTGACTCTAAACTCTTTAACCCTATTTTTGTCACATTAATGTCAGAAGCCTTCATGGCAGTAGCACCACATAAAACATGTTTCATGTTTAGGTTGCTGCAAAATCTCTGTGCAAAGAATCTGATCAGTGTAGGAGATGACCAGAAGCAGACCCACCCCGGCATTGATTTTCCTGAGCCCCTTCTTTGGCTCAAACTTATCCTAACAAGCCCCAGAGTCCAATGTGTGCAACACAAGAGGGTTGAAGAGTTCTGAGCCACAGCTCTTCACAGCTATTTGGCTATGCAGGGTCTGAGTGCTCAGGACCTCCAGATCTGGGTGGGAAATGGAGATGTTCTGGGATCTGTAAAGCTCCATAGGTTATCGGTCAAGCTCTTCTCATTTCGGAGCAAAACAAGGTTTGGATTTCAGGTTATTTATCAAAAGCTTTAATGGCCTATAGAAGAATATTCTGCATTCCTAAGCTCACTTGAGAGTAACATCCTGGACTTAGCCTGAGGAATGGCTGTATAGAAGCGTTTCAGCTCTGAGATGAAGCCCATACAGAGGCAGGCTGGTTGACCTGGTGCAGGGATAGACCAGGAGCACACACACCCAGGTCCCAACTCCACCACTAAGCTCCTCACTACTAAACTGGTGGACGACATCGTCCTTTGGAGAGGCATTGCCATGACTGTGCCAGGCCCCTTCAAGGGTATGTCTACCCTGCCAATAATCAGTTAGGGTCTTACCACTTCAGTCATCTTCGAGCAGAGTTTCTTTTGTGCTGCTGTGAGCATGGCCAGAGCTCCTGCCGCCGCAACCTGGACCTTCTCGTCCTCCTCGCCGCACAGTAACACCACCAGCTTCAGCCGGTCATTTCCATCCGCCACAACCCGCTCTTGAACCTAAAAGCCCCACAACCCCACGATACCCAGAAACACCTCGTTGGGGTCACATCGCGGGGGCTCACGAACGGGCACCCACAGCCCAGCCCGAGACGCCCCACGAGTTACCTCCTTGTTGAGCACCAGGTTGCACATACACTCCGTGGCCGCCTGCCGAAGCTGGTCGTGATTCTCAAACATATAGTTTTCAATATCTGGCAGGGCCCTCTCTTTGACGATCTTCATCCTGTGTCGAAGAGCAGTCAGATGAAATACATCATGGGACAAGCAACAACCAACTTATAAAATCTTAACCGCAGGGAAGGCCTTGAAACACATCGGTGTCCACAGCACTGGAGCTCAGGACATGTGGTTCATGCCCTGTCTAATGCAGATTAGGTTCATGTTTTTCCTCTTTCTAGAGGAAAATGTGCCACTCTCCTCTTCCTGGCTATTTTATTAATTTTTCATTTCTGAGACCTTTGTAGCTCTGCCAAAGGCAGCTCAAACTGACCAGTCTTCACAGTCATAGAATCATAGAATAGAATCATGAAGGTTGGAAAAGACCTCAAGGATCATCAAGTCCAACCGCCAACCCAACACCACCCAACCCACTAACCCATGTCCCTAAGCACCACATCGCCATGTTTCTTGAACCCCTCCAGGGATGGTGACCCCACCACTTCCCTGGGCAGCCTGTTCCAATGCCTGATCACTCTTCAGTGAGCAAATTTTTTCTAATATCCAGCCTAAACCTCCCCTGGAGCAACTTGAGGCCATTTCCTCTTGTCCCATCACTTGTTACTTTAGAGAAGAGGCCAGCACCCAAGAGAAGAGCCCAGCAACAGTCCTAACAAGCAAAGTGTTCAACCGGAATTCACATTCACTCCTGGGGAAGAAAGACGGTCAAAAAGCAGGTAGACTCACCTCAGTTTATCACTTCTTCCTGAAAAGTTAGTGAGACCTAACAGAGCCTCGTAATTCTGGAGGCCATC